GCTTTGGTAAAGGTTTAGAAAAGTGGAAGAATTTCACTCCTCTAAGGAAGAAGGAAGCTCAAGCAATGGAAGTGAAAGACATAGACAATGAAAGTAGGAGAAAACTAGTCACTACTTGGAGGGTGGCTTCCTCAACCAACAAATGGAGGGTTGCTTTCTCAACCAACAAGTGGAGAGTTGCTTTCTCAACCAAGAGATGGAGGGTTCCTTTTTCAACCAAGAAATGAACTAAATCTCTTGATACAAGTAAATATAACATACATCTAAGATTAATCAAAATGAGTGGGAGCCTNTCTCAACCAACAAGTGGAGGGTTGCTTTCTCAACCAAGAGATGGAGGGTTCCTTTCTCAACCAAGAAATGAACTAAATCTCTTGATACAAGTAAATATAACATACATCTAAGATTAATCAAAATGAGTGGGAGCCTAAGCCTCCATACAAACTTCTTACTAGTTCTTGATGTAGTCTAAGCCTACTAACCAAACTCTTACTCCATGCTTTACAAGAGAAGAATCCTCCCTTTGAAGCTCCCCTAATGGGAGTATTTATAGGCAAGGAAGAGGAGAGGGGGAAGATAAGAGAGGATGAATAGTGTATGCCGCCCAGTAAAAGTAAAAACCAACTACTTTATAGGCAGTTTGTGGAGGATGTTCAAATGTAAGTTGGCGTTCGAATGTTGTTTCTGTTTTGGCTTTATAGACGTTCGAACGTGGTATTACGTTCGAACGTGTCTTCTGTCTTTGCTTTAGGGGCATTCAAATGCCAGATGGGTTTGACTATATCACTCAAGTGGTCTGTGATCTTCTGTAGAAACACACTTCCACACTNGATGTTCAAATGTAAGTTGGCGTTCGAATGTTGTTTCTGTTTTGACTTTATGGACGTTCGAACGTGGTATTACGTTCGAACGTGTCTTCTGTCTTTGCTTTAGGGGCATTCAAATGCCAGATGAGTTTGACTATATCACTCAAGTGGTCTGTGATCTTCTGTAGAAACACACTTCCACACTTCATGCAGAGCTTGGCATTTTGCAATCAATCACTCTGGTCTTCAATCAAATCAAGTTGATGTTCGAACGTGATTTGACGTTCGAACATGGTACTCAAGTACCTCAGAGTCTTCTGTCATGCCTGCAACACGCCATGTCTCTGCAGTCTAGTCTCCTCATAGTTCAAATGGACGTTCGAACATGAGTTGGCTTTTGAACGTTCTTGTNTGAACGTGATTTGACGTTCGAACATGGTACTCAAGTACCTCAGAGTCTTCTGTCATGCCTGCAACACGCCATGTCTTTGCAGTCTGGTCTCCTCATAGTTCAAATGGACGTTCGAACATGAGTTGGCTTTTGAACGTTCTTGTTTTGTTCCAACCTTCTCCAATTTTGTTTCCTTATGCACTGGTGTTACACTCAAGTGTGATATTTGTTATTTTTGAGCCTTTGTTTACTTTAGGACTTGAAATGTCATCACTTAAACTTCATCAAAGTATAATTAGTCATAAAAAAGCATAGTAATATGTAAATTTAAGTACTAATCAATGCGCATACCACAAAAACTTCCAGAATTTATTCAACATCATTATCGGATTATGGACAGAGATACCCATTCTCAACTCCAAGAAGATCTTATTGAGCGTTTGTGGAAAATTCATGGAACTAGTTAATGTTGTCTAGTTTATTTGATTCAAATGTCTAAAAATCAAAGGACAATGTCACAATAATATCAATAAACTACAAATTCTTAAGTATTATTAAATCCCTTTGCAAGGATTTCTTGTTGACGATGACAATAAAAATCTTCAAGTAATGGTGTCATTTCAGTAGTATCAAGCCTCTCTTGCTCTTGAAGATATGTCTTCTCAAAATGCATTTTTTGCTCTTTGAACTTTTTTTTTTCCTGAATTTCATGCAAGAAAGCCACGATAGATGAAGTTGAAGATTCATTTTCACCATTTATGTCCTTTCATTTTTTGCGATCTTTTTCAGCCTTCCTTCTTGGTGATCTCTCCAAGTTTTCAAAGCCAACATTTGGGATCCATTCTTCCTCAAGATCTATTGAATTCTTTGGAGTGGAGAATGAAAGGAGACATCAAGGGACAATGAAGCACTTTTAAACATTTTTGTTGTTTTTCTCTTTTGGCAATCCTCCAACCATTTTGATTGATGCCGCAGTATATTCTAACAATGTTCAAATTAAAATGGGAGTTTATCTTTATTCAATTCTTGATATAAAATTTTAGCATTAGCAATCTAAAAAAAAAAATTGAAATAAATACAATGTGAAAAAATCACAATCAAGGTAAATGTAACTATTGAAGTTCTTTAAGTGCCTTATCTTACTCATTCACATCATTTTGATGTCTTGATTCAATCTGAGCATAGCACCAAAAATTATTGGTAACAAGTTGAATGGTCGACCAACGATTAATTAAAAAAACTTGAGTCCAATCGGATGCAAATTTCTTGTACTTATGAAAGTATTCACACACTCGCGCCCAATAAGACTTATTTTTTTGTTCGTTCCCTTGTACTGTATCCAAACTAATATTAAGTCATACCGACACAAGAAGCATGTCCTCTTCTACAATAAAGTTGTCGCCTTACAATTTTTTAGAATTTGATTCTGCATAGGCAAATAAGTGAGATGGTTCAACGGAGAATTGAGAAAGTTGAATAGATTCATCTTGGAATTGCGTTGAAGATTAAAAATTTATCTCGATCCCATGCATTATTTTAAATGAAATACGGTTATCGATTTTCCAAATGTACAGAGTCAATTGGACTCTTTATTTTAGAGAGTCTAAATAAAGAGTCAATTGGAGAAGAAAATTTAAGGATTAACTCTCTATAATAGAGAATTGAGTGAGAATTGAGAGTCTATTTGAGATACTCTAACAATAAGTTTAATTAGTTTTTACTCAATCTTTTCTTCAAATACAATACTCAAGTTTGAAGGAAGGATTAGTTTAGTAATAAATACTCAATTTTGTTCGCAATTGAGGGTTTCAGTCTCATCCCTTTTTTTCTATGGTCAAGTACTATTATAGTGAAAATGGATGACAATACGCTTGTCAAAATGCAACATGACTCAATAGGTTTGGGTGAAGTCTTAATGAATGCAGGTAGTAAGCAGGTGAACCCGCTAGAACCATTTAATAAATGAGTTGTATTCAGGTGATATATATGAATTTATCATCTATTTAAAAACAATTAATATAATAATAACTTAATAATTATTCAATTTTTTTTAAGAATAATATAAGCAAATTAAAAATTAGATTAATTAAAAAAAAATTAATAATTATTTTTATTATAATAATAAAAAAAATTTATTAAACGAATCGTTTCATATACCCAATTTAATAAATGAAACATATTTAATTTATAAATTTTTATCCATTTAAATAAATAAATCATATACAAATTAAGCAATTCTCGACAGAAACCCAATTAAACTCGATACTTGCGAATTTAAGTTCCAAGGGGCAATGACCATTAGCCAATATTTGCAAGGAAAAATTCCATTTTGTCCCCTAAAAGATACCAATTTTTTCACTTTTTCCCCTGAAATGATTAATTGTTCCATATTACCCCCTAAAAGACATTAAAAGGTTGCAATGTAGTCAATCGTCATTTTTTCGTTTGTCGTCCGTTTGGTTTTGTTATCACGTGTTTTGCACATGATAACATGAGGGGCTATATTGTAAAATCCTTTTCTGTGCAAACCCATGTCTTCTTCTACCTAAGTGATTGGGGGAATGTGCACAGAGAGAGAGAGAGAGAAGCATCCAAACCCATTACCCATAGGCTTCCATGGAGTCCGATACAAAGAAGCCTCTTCCTGAGAAATCCCCAAACTTTAACAACAACTAGCCTGACCATCACGATCTTGACATAGACCAAGACAAAGACCATAACACCATTGATCCCCCACCGTCTAAAACATCCGCGGAGGTTGAAGAAGCCCAACCAGACAATGCCGAGACAGAGAACAAAGAGGAAGAAGACCAAATCAATACAGAGATTGAAGACTCTTCTTCTCTTGAGACTCCCAATTTCTCTCAAGTCTTTGCGGAGATTGATCAATTCACCTCTATTTTGTCGAGCTTAAAAAGTGATGAATCCGAACTCCAAGGGATTCCAGAATTTGTGGAACAATTTACTCTTCTTGTCAAAGCAAAGATCGCGAACTATGATTCAACTAATACCCCATTGAAATGAAGTCAAATCACAGAGGAGGACTCGATAACATTTCTTGAAGCTGGGAATGGAATCTTCAAGCTATCAACATCACTTTGCCTATTATCGTCAGAATCAAAGTACAGTTCATCGATCAACTGCGTTAGTGGAATTCTACAGCGTGCAATGTCATACTTGGAGGAGGAGTTTAGATCTTTTCTTGAAGATTATAAACTTTCAGATTCAGATCATAATAATGACTCAAAAATGAAACAATCTTCATCATCTCTCTCTAATTAAGATTCAGATCATTGTGTTTTGCCGGAGAAACAAGAATGAGTTTCGATGCTTCTCTCTCTCTCTGTACATTCCCCCAATCACTTAGGTAAAAGAAGGCATGAGTTTGCACAGAAAATGATTTTACAATATAGCCCCTCATGTTATCATGTGCAAGCACGTGATAACAAAATCAAACGGACGACAAACAGAAAAATGATGATTAACTACATTGCAGCCTTTTAATGTCATTCAGGGGTAATATGAAATAATTAATCATTCAAGGGCAAAGTGAAAAAATTGGTATCTTTCGGGGGTAAACTGGGATTGTCTCTATTGAAATGAAAATTTCTCTTCCTCTTTTCTTCTCCATCGGTTCGCACGTGTGCGTCACTTTCGGTTACTTCCTACTAATGAAGTTCACAGCTTCAACCCTTTTTTGAACAACACAGCCTTGACACTTGACGGGGTAATTTTATCACTCTCTCCCTCTCCTTCTCCGACGTCGACATATCCGAATTTCGTCCGGCGGTCGAATTAGAAAAATGGGTATGGGCTTCGTTGTTGGCATCCTTGGCGTTCTGATCATCTCCCACGCAGCCTACTGTACCATCCAGTGTAATCCTTCTCTCTTTCAACACAAAGAATTAAAAATTACGGGCCTCTTTGTAGTTTCAATCAATCTATTGTACGTTTTGGTGATCAGTTTGGGTCTGTTTGTTGTAATTGCAGATAGGGCTGTTCTTAAGATCACAGAGGAGGAGCTCTCTAGACCACCCATCAACGTAATCTCTCTCTCTCTCTCTCTATATGCGTGCGTGTGTGTATACATAAGCAAAATTTATTGTTGTATACACATATGAGTGTGCTATTATATACGTATATGGATTTGTTGGTGCTTATGGGATCTAGGGTTTCGATATTGCAGGTGGTGATGGAGCTGATTTTAGGGTTGATTTTATGTTCGTGGGCTGCGCTGACTGTGCTGGGGAAGTTTTTATCGATACTCCCGGATTCGTTGGAGAACAGGTATAATTTGAAGTATTTAGTTGTTTTGTATGCAATGATGCCATATTTAAATTTGGGATGATTTATGTTATTTGGTCATGATTTGAATGGGGCCTGTAGAAATTCGTATATGTTTTTATTTCTAAATAGAAAATAGTTAGAATGTATGACCTAGATAGTTCAAATAGGCAAAATAGGATTCATATAGTATGTTCAAAATATTATATTTTCTCAGGCCAAGTATTCCCTTGATTTTTGTTATTATATTCAGAACCATTGGTGAACTATGTTGAATACTTTGTTGTTTAATTAGGCACTAATCTGGGTACTTAGATGGTCTTCCGACATAAAATATATATCATTGACAAGGTGTCTCTCAGCATATGTGTTGCAAGAACTGTTTTTAGTTGTGTCCCAACTCATAATCCGTTAAGAAAGTTGCTGTGTAATGTTAACACTAACTGTACTATTTGATTGGTAATGTGTCTCATAGAAGTTTGCAGCATAATCATGGTAAGAGGTTTACTAGGTAGACATTAGTTTAGATTGTTATGAAGTGCTGAAAATTCAACAAGGCTATTGATGTAACATGCTAACTACATAAATCTAGTTACAAACAATGAGGCAGTTTAGTATCCACTCTTTCCAACCTATATTACTGCAGTGAATCCATTGATCATAAGCAAGTAAAGGAAATGAAACGACTAGGAGCAGACACCCTAAGCTGGATGGTAGAGACCGAACTACTCTGATCTGTAAAACTATTATGTCATGATCCTGGTGATACGCATAACTGCCTTTCTTTTATCAGTTGCATGCACTGCCTTGAAGTTGCTTTTCTCCTCTTTTTGGTCCTGATTACCCTCAAAGCTTTAATTGGTGGCAAAACTCTGCTTGGACTTCCCATTAGTTTGTTCTAGATGAAATTCTTGATGTTTCTCAAGCTTTTCAGACACTTTTCTGGTGTTATGAGTGGCATGAAATAGGTTAGCAGTCTAGACAAGTTGATGTGAAAAAGAGTGAATATCTGTGTTTTTAGTAACCCAAGAGAAAGGAAGGCATATACTTGATTTTTTATGCCCCCTAGATTATTACAAATTCTATCAACATAGACAACTTCTTTTTGTATCATTTGTAACCTCAACCTCATCTTAGAGAGATTATCAACTTGTTCATTGCTATGGCCAATGCCTTCCTAACCGCAAGTTTTTTTGAAATATTACCAGATTGTCTTTTTCATTCATTCATACTTTTTCGCCTTCTCTCTTCTTTTTCTTTCTTTCAATCTTCTTCTCTATTTGATTTAGTCTGGTGTTAGTGAAATACCAGGATGTAATATCTAGTTTTCTTTGGTACAACATTAAGTGGCAAGCTATGAAGTGTGGATACTTCAATCGGGATGATATATGCATATCCGATACGAATCAGATACCGATACTTATTGGATCCTTGCAGATATGTATCAAATACTTTTTGCACGTATCAAATAATTAATAAAATATTTATTATTGGTGGATACTTGTCAGATACACTTCGAATACGCGTATCTCTATGGTGAATATATTCGTCATGTACTTAGTGAGATGAGTTGTTTAGTAACTGTGAATCATATAAAAGAGAATTCCTCATTCCAAGATATTCATTTGGACATGCATCACATATATCGCAAGGTTTGTTAATTCTTTACAATTTTGTTGACTTAATTAATGAGTTTTTGTTGCTTATGTTAAAGCCAAGGAAGTCTATTGCAATTAAATGCTACATAAAACTTGAGGACTCCCGAAGGGTGACATGTTTTCAGCATTAGAATTACATAGAATCTTGAATTTAAAATACCATTAAGCAGTTCTATGTCAATAACATAAATTATTTTAGTTTGGATGTGTTTTATTTCTTAATCCCTTATAACCCTCGTGTTGTAATAACATTCTAATACACACACACACATATACGTATACTAGCCGTATCTATATCCTACTTTTAATATTTTGTCGTATCGTCATGCCCGTATTATGTCGTACTCATATCATGTATCCATATTCGTGTTTTCTAAGGAGAGGAGTAAAGGAACCTAGAGGAATAAACTGGGTATATTCATGTCCATTTGAGTAGTTTATACTATAATTGAAATGCCATTGTGATGGATTTCTCACTGACTAGTGTGGTACATATATATGTATATATATGTGTGTGTGTGTGTATAACCAGTGAAGTACCCATGTGGAAAGCATGCTAATTAGATTCTATTGTTTATGATGAAGTGAAATTTTTTAGGCTAATGTGAATGTTCTTTTAAACTAATTATTTGATAAAAAGCAAGCTGAAATAACCAAAAAAAAAAAAAAAGAGTATAATATTATAAGATTATGATTGTTGATTCCAAAATAGTAAGATAGTAGATTTAAGCATATGATGAATTTCTTTTACTTGATGTTATTCTATTAATCACAAGAGTAAAATATAAAGTCCTATATATATTTTAGGTGAAGATAATCCTTCATGTTTGGGTTTCTTGTACAAAAACAATTCTATGGCTTCAAAAAAGTAGTCATGTGTCAATTATTCTATTAATTTGCTTCAAAACATACCCTTAGCTCTCTTAATATTCTTTTAATAATTAGAATAGTATCAAATTTGCTCGCTTGATCATGAAACAATTAAGTTACCGATCTCTATATTCATAGTTGTCAAATCGTATATTGGAAGGCGTATCATTTTTTAAAAATAGTGTATCGTATCGTATCATATTGTGTATTGTATATTGTAAGATACGCGCAATTTTAATTTTTAAATAATTATTAATAAATTATATGTATATAGTATATACTTTTGTAAAAAAAGTTATAAACTCATAATAATATAACATTTCATTAATTTTTCATCAACTATTCAAGTTCCCAACATAGTTCAGTAATATTAAAATGCAAAGACCTCTAATTCAAACTTTTAACAGTAATTGCTTGAACAAGCTTAATATTAATCAAGAATTTTGAATTCAATTGAACAATATTAACAGCAGAATTTTTTTTTTTTTTATCCATAACCATTGAAACGACGTCATTTTATTAGCTAGTGATTTAAAAATAAGTCTTAGAGTAAAATGATATTATTTCAACTCCAAAAAACTAAAAAAAAAAAAAAACAGAATTGTCATGTATCGGGTGTATCGTATCGTAACGTATCGTACGATACGTATCGCGTATCGTACAATACTAATAACTAATATTACTCAGACAACAAAATATCAACCATTTAACTCTAAATCGAGCACAAAATTAGCATTGAAATATTGTGCTCGCAATTTGGTACTCTAAAATCATGCAAAATAATTACATTTGTTTTCACAACAAAAATTTTTTAGGCCTTTGACTCTTTATAAGGTATAAATATATTCTTCTATAATGGTTAAAAATCAATGAATGAATATTCTGATCAAAAAAGAAAAAAATGAATGAATATTGAAATTAAGTGCATGAGAATTGAAATTTATAGTCATTGTTACCTATAATTTTTGGATATGCTAATGACAACACAAAAAGAGGGAGGAGGAATGTTTAACAAAATCGAAAAAAGGCTTTCATGAATAGAGTGCACGCTTAGAATAGCTTTGATTAGAATCGGCAATTGGGCGTGGATTGATATTTTTTTAATGCTTACCTAGGTTCAAATCCTAATCTATATTTCCTTATATTTAAAGGAATTAGATTTGATTATTTACATGAACATCTGAATCGTTATTCAATCTGAATCAAAATATTGAAAATCATTGGAATGATTAAAGATGTCTTCACTGTAGGTTAAAATAAGTTCCAGTTAAAGATTTTTCTTTAGACTTTTCTATTGTTGAAGAACTTTCATCAACAACATGGATTATAACCAAAATATTATACACCAAAGAATAAAAATATCTCCACAATAGGTAAACAAAAAAGACCTCTTCCAAGTTAGAGTTGACAGTGGACCTTGACATGGACAGGGATGGGGGCGGGGGCGGG